GGAGCCCCGGGGGCCGCGAGGTGGGGGGCCGCGGCCGGCTGCCCGCGCCGGCGGGAGGTGGGGTCGGGGGACGCGCGCCCTCGGACTTTCGCTATTGTGCACAGCCGGCCGAGTAGCGCGGTGTCGCCTAGTGACTGACGGTGGCCGGGGTCCCGTAAACCAGGATTTGCCAACGCTTTCTGAACCACTTTTGTAACTGCATCAAGAAAGCAGTCGCAGGGGACTGGGATACATAGGCCAGCCGGGGCTAAAAGAGTTGGGAGTCCCGGGGACCACAGGCTTTCTTTCTCCCGCCTCTCGGCGCTGCTCGCTGGGAGGAGGCTGGCGCGCCGCAGCCGTCCCCTTGGCGCCCTCCCTAAGCTCTTGGTGGCCCGAGGTTTGTACCTTCCGACAAAGAACGTGTGAGGACCTGGCTGCCGGGTGTTTTCTGGGATCTTTAAGTGCGGAGCGGCTGCCTGGATAAGGAGCTGCAGGGAAACCTAGGACCCCTCGGGACAGGGTTAACTCGCTCCTCCGGGGGCGCGTTGGAAGCAGTGTCCGAGAGAGTGCACGGTAGCTAGGGTCACTTCCTTGCCAGGCGCCCCGTCCTCCTTTTGCTCCTGGATCTGGGCCTCAGAGCTGCAGGCACTAAAACGTTCTTCCCAGGACTAGCGGGCTAGGGGCTGGGAGGGGACGATCGAGGGGCGCCTTGTACCCCGCGGAGTGGAAGGTTTTGTCTGCGGATGCAACCAATTAAGCGTGCAGCCGGCTCTTGCAGAGTTGCGCGCAGCGCCTAGGGCGGGAGGGGGGGGGGGGTTGTTCGCTGAAATTTCCAAGCCTAGGCGGGGAGGGTTGGGTGGGACAGGACTATTGAGAACAAGTAAACTGTACTTCCTCGGTTTTTAAAACTTCTCTTTCGTTCCTTTCCCTTACATCGCTTCCCTCGTGGCAAATAGATCAAATAATCTAGAGTCCCAAAGGCACACGAAAGCTAGGTGGGGAAGCTGAACAATGTTTGCTTGCCAGTGCAATTTAGAAAAACCGGGAGAGTGCTGTACCTTTTTGAATTCCTCAAAGGAAACAAGCCAATCTAGAGGCCTGAGTTTTCCCGCTCTGCGCAAGCGACACTTCTTACCACGTTTGGATCCTATTTTACACCTCCCAGGAAGTCTCTGCCCTAAGCCCTTGTTTCTCACCCTCTCCCTGTGCTAATTGTACCCTCTCTTAAAAAAAAATGCAGTGGAATCTGGAGGTGATTGGAGGTCTTAACTTTGAGTGAAGGCAGAGTTCACAAAGAAAGAAAAATGTATCTTCGATGTGTTTGCTCAGGGTGTGCTCCCTGGCGCTAGTGTCCCACAGAAGCCTGGAAGGAACCTTCCCCAGATTCTCTCAATAAGATGCGAATTTTCCTTGAGAACTGTAATGCATTTTAATTAGTCTCATTTAACCACCGAATCTGAGTGAAATATGAATAGATGATTCACAAGGTAAAAACGTAGAATCTGGGCTATTAATCATCACATTTTCTTAACCACTTGGGTATTTACTGCTTGGCGTAGCAGCCATTTAAAGTTCTGCTGAAGCTTGTGATTGTTTCAATTTCTCCTTCCTCAATATTTGCAGTTCTCCCTCTTCATTCACTTTTGCCTCCTTTTCCTTTGCTCCAGCCTATCCTCCTAAGTTTCCTCAAAAGAAAGTTTGGAAGAAAATATGTTTATTTTTATAAAAAGATACCTAAATGTTGACTAGAGACCATGTCTGCCTCTTAGAAAGGAAGTGGAGAATTGAAGCAATTATCTAGATAATTCAAGCAAAACCTCCCACCTTAGATTTACCATAATTATTTGGAAATTTTAGAGGGAACAGAGTTAATTGGAGCTGAAGAACTTGGATAATTGCTCCAAGATTTACCTCAATGTGTCGATTACATCCTAACCAACCTAGAAAGCAGGCATGCATCCAACATTAAAAGACACCTTTAAGGTGGGAAATTGGTAGAACTATCTATAATGCTAGCTTCATATTCCGGTTTGAAATGCTAATATAATAGTGATAGTCACCTAACGTGCTTAGAATTTCTACACATTGTAAAATGCACATGTTTATAAACTTTATACCTTGAAAGACATAGTTTTCTTCCTAAAATTTGCAACCTTTTTCAGGCTTTCCTCCTCTTTTAGGTATGACATAGAGCCTAGTCTTCATATGCAAAATAGTTTCTGCTTTGAAACCTGGGATTCAAAGTACGGTTATTTCCTGTTTCTGTCAGCTTTGTGCCATCACCATTTACCCTGGAGCTGAATGTGTCCCAGCAGCTCTCTTGAGCAGAAAATAACAGCTAGAGTGGGGTCACTTTCTTTTACATGGTCTTGCCCCAACAGCATCTTTTTCCCCCCAAATTAGGAGCCAACCTGTGAGCCCTCTCCTAAGAGACCCAGGGGAAGACCCAAAGGCAGCAAAAACAAGAGTCCCTCCAAAGCAGCTCAAAAGGTGAGAATTCTCCAGTCAACCCGGAATTACAGGAACTCCCCTGTATTTTTTCCCATTCCAAATCCACACTTAAGGATTTGTCCCAGGTGGGTAACCCAAGACACATTTTCTACATTGAACATTAAATAGGAGCTAATGTTCTTTTGTTTTTGTTTTTGTAAGTATACACGGCACATCAAATGTTCATCAAGATGCTTACAGTGTTACTTTTAAACAAACACCAAATAGTATGAACCTTAATTGGGGGTAGAGGGATGAGGCAGGAGGAGGAGGGGTGGGGGTGGGGTGGGGGTAGACCGAGATACAACTAATATTTGCATGAAGTGTGAAATAATTCAAAACAAATGCGAACCTTGAATTTTCCTTGTTGGTGAAGTTTTTGCAATTTATTTTGTGCTAATTTATATGACTACTGTAAGCCTAGTTCTCCTATTAAAAGTACTTTCTGAGGTGGATGACAAATCGAAGTAAGTCCAATGACATGGATACTAGAAGAATTTTGTGAATTTTACAACTTTAAATTGAATGCTAAAATTTGTTTTATAATAAATTTGCAATATAGTGTTAATAATCTCAAGAAAACTTGTCCACTGCAAGACAATGAAAAAAATTTAAAACTACTTTTACTCATTTACTATATGTTTTGGTCAGGCTAGAACTCAGTAAATCTTAATATTCAGTGTTTCTCTAATAAAAGTTAAATTGCGGTTTAAGATCACTTCATGTTGGTTGTATTTGAGTTAGCAAAGAAGAAATATCTCAGAATAAATGTAAGTATACCAACATAAAGGTGAATATAAAAGTCGCTATATATGGCTTTCATAAGTAAAAAAAAAAAAAAAAGAGGTTGTATTTTATGTGTAGGGTTGTGTTGCAGTTCAAAACAAAAATTTTAAAAATCAGAAGTAGACTTCAGATACATCCTTTCAACAGATAGGAATATACCATGTAGAAAGCACTATGTTAAGAAGGACTGTATGGGCTGGGGCTATAACTCAGTGGCACAAGCACCTGCCTGGAAAAGGACTAAGTGTTCATCTTTGGGGATTTATGTTTTAGATGTGTGTTTTTCTTTGATTGTGGGCACCATGTTACATTGTGATGTTTTTCAGTGTTGTGAGCTACCATAGCAACTAGTGGTATATAGAAAGTTATTTAGGAAGTAATTAATGAGTTTTATCTGTTTTAATAGTTTTGAATAGAGTTAATGGAGGAGATTTCTCTTATATTTAAATTTAACTGCTTCACTGGGGTTAGATTTAATGTGATATTTAATTAAACTTTAAAGTAGCTCTAAATGTTCTTGTTTAAGAATGACAATATACAATCTGGTATTCTTAATGTGTACACTATTTTCTCACTTTACCTGGTTTATATATTAACTAAAGAGAACTAATTTTGTGAAAGAAGTAGATTCTATGTTGTATAAATATGAAATTTACCCTAATTTTGCTCTTAAGAATTAGGAAAGAAATGTCTTGGTAGGTAGCTAAAAAACATTTAAGCTATGATGAAATTGCTCTGAAAAATGTATTAGTGTAATATCCTCCAGGAAGAAATCCTTAAAGTCACCAGAAGTAAATTATTTAAAATGTAACACCAAAAAATGAGTTATCTTCCAGATTTTACTGCATTACACTCACTTGAAGTAGATAGAAATATTTGCATTACCTCTTCATTTTGATTGCCCCCTACCAGCATCTTTATAGACAAAAGGAAAGCTGAGACTTATGCCTAATTTACTACCCAAAGCAAAATAACCCAAAAAGTTGACTTGTTTTCAAGTATGGTTTGATTTATTTGCATTGACTTCAGTAACAGACATTTTGAAATGACCATATAAGGCCATTCATTTTTCTGATAATTCTCCCTGTGTGTGTATTGTGTGTGTGTGTGTGTGTGTGTGAGTGTGTGTGTGTGTGTGTATAATTTGCAAAATACAAATAGGGTTTCTGTTTCCTACAGAAGTCTTTTGGAAGTATCTGAAATCTTTCATTTCTTTTTTTTTTTTTTTTCATTTCTTAAACACAATTATTTCCTGGAATTCTGTTACAAAATATATTTTAATAAAACTGAAAAATATAAAACAAAACTCCATAATAAAATTGTATGAGATTAACAAGAAAGGAAAGCTGAAAAAATATACTTACTTGCTCACAATGTAACTTATTTTTCTTCAGTTTTATAAATTATATTTCATTTGCAGAATTTAATACTTTTCAAACTAATAAGTGACATTGATGAATTGTTTATGGCTTTTATAAACTATGTATTTTCACTTTCAAAACTATTTATTGAGTATGTGATTACATTATATAAACATGATTATTAAACACATACTTGTTTTTCAAATATATATTGTATTTTAACAAAGCATATGTTAAGCTTTGAACTGCAGATCATTTTAGAAAAATTTATACTGTTCATAACATACTATAAGAAAAAAATACCTTGTTAGGCTGACCAGAGTTATCAATCTTCTGGATTAACTGGGTATTTTTCTGCATACTGTGACTCAGCCAGTGAAAAATATATTGTAAAAACTGGTAAGTATATGAGAGAAAACAATTCCAAAATAAGAAGAGATGCATCCTACTATGAATCCTGGTGGTGCTGTGGGTTCAACATTCCTTGCTGCTTGAAGTTTCTTGCTAAGTTTGTGTTTGGCTTCAGTTAGTGGCTGTGGGCATTTGAAAACAAAACTGCTTGTTAGAAAATTAACAGTGTGAAATTTGACAATGGATGCAGAATGTTGTAAGACCAAGTGGAAGACTATTAAATTAACCATCACTTAAATTTCTAGCCACATTCAATAGAAAATTGATTTATATGGCATGTAAAACAAACAAGTTAATAAAAACACAATTTTTATGTTATTTCTTATGGAAGAGGACACCATTATTCTTCACAGTACTTATATTCCCTCAAAACTCGTTTCCATGGATGGAGCATTATGTGACAATTCTGTAGTCTTTCCTGTAAACTCAAGGTTGGGTGCTTTAGCTTTGTCAATGAGCCAGTTTTATATTATCTTCATAAAACAAAATCGGAAGTTAATGATTTCCTAAATAAATCATTTGACAGAGACTTAACCCATTTGTTTTTAAGTTTGAGATATGCTTATTACCAGGTGTCTCTTAATTTCTTTTTTGTTTTTTGTTTCTTTTATGATTGTGCTAGATGGAAATACTTTGTATTTTTGCATTTTCCATCTTTAGAGATAGAAAAGACTATAACCTCCTTTATGTTTTGTTTTTTAATAATGAGAGAACTGTCATTAATCCTTCTGTTGAAATTAACGTCAAATTCATCTTTAGGTTTCAAGTCAATTCTCTCTCAAATCCTTCTAAAAGTTTTTTTCTTTCTTTCTTTTTTTTTGTGGAACCGGGGATTGAACTCAGGCCCTTGCTCTTGCCAGGCAAGTGCTTATTCTACTGAGCCATCTTCCCCGCCCCTAAAAGTATTTTTCTGAGGTTGAGTTAAATTTTATTAGGAGAAAAGTGACTGTACAGAAAGATCCTAAGTGTGAGGTAGCCTTACTTCATAATTTTGTGGATTTGTTTGATTTTTCCTTCTGACTTTGGATGGAGTGGCCAGATCTAGAAAGTAAAGTGCAGACTGAAAATATCATTCAAGTAAAATATGTATATACTTCAAATAATGTGTTTGGAGTAAATATTTAATTATCTTCTTCAATTTGCTATAAAAAGAAGACTTGATTTTGACTGTATATTATAGAGATATCTTGCATTTCTAGAAATTTGATTCACTTTTCATAAATTATTACTAACATCCATCACAGATATTTTAGGAAGACATACTGTGGGTGTTAAGCATCACTTCAAGCTAAGAGTTCTAATTCATCACTTCTTCTAAGAGTTCTCTTAGAGCTGCATGAGGACAGAATTTACGATGTAGTAGACCATTGTTTCCAAAGGTATCAATAGAAAGTTAGAGAAAGACGATCCTGGGAGTTGTGTACTATTCCATCCTATGGTTTCTACAACCTTGGTAGGAGTTAGTTTGATTTTTCTGTGTTTCCATAGCCAGGTAAGTTACATGATGGGATCCAGAGCACTGTGAGAGTATAAAAATGAATTCAGGCAAATTGAATTGATTAGTTGATTATTTCCAGTATGTTAGTATTTTAGACTGACATTTAAATTGACTCCCTTATTTATTTGTTTCACTTTGCCAGGAAGACAAAGTCTTGGTGTATCAGTAAACTCCATCTGACAATGCCTTGGAGTCGTCAAAGATCATATTCCAAATATTATAGATTCAAATACCTTTGAGCTATTTTATGTAGTAACCTTATGTCAGAGAACCCATGGTTACAGTTCTCTGGAAATTATTGTCTTCCTGGGCCCTTTCATCAAAAGCTCCTCATTATTTGGGCTGACCTACATACCTGGCTCATTTTTATCTCCATGTCTCAAAGATCATTTTGCTAACACAGAGTATGACTGTAGCAGATTGTATCCTATTGCATTTCACATCTTTCCCCTTTAGAGTAGATGAATGCCATAAAAAGCATCTTATGCCAGTTCAATCTCTGAATGAATCTTGTCCTGTTTGTTAACTTTGTGCACTTTCTAGAGCTCACTTTAGAACTTTATAGGGAGGCGTAAGGCTCAAAACTGATTTTTAAAGTCCTGGATGCTGCAGTTTTCCCTTATGGATCTACAGTTATGTTCTGCCAATGGAGAGAGGAAAAAGGAATGAAGAATTAACATTACCTTAGGCTATTGCCTGATTTTACATTGAGCTAATTAATGCACTGAACAATTTTGAATAGCATTTCCAATTTGATGTAATAGGGAGGAGTAGTGGAGTCATTCTCTTTAGAATAAGGCAGGAGACGGTTTGCTCAGAAGGTAATGTTTGTGAACTCTTGAATCATGGCTATTGATTTAGCTGGTTACATTATACATAAAGAGAAGACTTGAGGGAGGATCAGCTCCAACTTTCAAATGATAGCTTTTCATGCCAGTTTGACC